TTAAATTTAATAACAAATTACTTATATCAGCATTATGTTTCACGAAAGTCATTGTACGGATCATAGAATAATACGCTCATAAAGAAAGTCATTGTACGGATCACAGAATAATACGCTTATACAGAGGAAGGCTTACAAACCTTGGAACAAGGGTTGCTCCAGGGGGGGCTATGGGGACAATTCCCCTTCACCCCGAGATAAAAAGTCTCACGTTTTATGGGCCTTTTATTCAAAAAAATATGCTAAAAAGGGAATGGCTAAAGGCAATGCCCACGTTTAAAAAAGCGCTAAGTACACTACTTCATAGGTGGTGTGGCAATGTGTGCATATCTTGTAAAATGTAACCCCTTTAACTTTTAGAATGGCGATATCTTAGGAATGGTGATTCTTGGGAAAAAAGTAAGCTTACCGATTTAGAGAAAAAACTAAAAATTACCAAAAATGTTGACTCTGACCTTGAATAACTTTTTTAGCACTCATGAGATCAATGGGGACTTTTGGCACTTTATTTCTACTGATGTACACAAGGTCTTTAGGAAAATTTAGCTCTGTCAGAACTTTTGTTATTTGAAATGTATATATTGATCAGACTATTGGCATTCTATAGATATTATCCTCTACACAGTTTAACAGATCACCTCCCATTTTTAATCAGAAATTTTTCAGACACAATAAACTTCATGCCTTTATAGAGCTTAATTTTTCCTGAAGATATCAAGTTGATATCGTTTATGGTTTCTAGGTTAAGATTTTTTTAATTATTTCAACCCCCCTTAACTCCCATTTTTATTCAGATTTTTTTTGGAATCAATGGGCTTTAAAAAAATACTAAAAAGAAACTAAAAATAATTGTCAAATGTTTATGTTTACGACAGTATGACTTATGTTGGTGTCATCTAACATCGTTGCCATAGTTTCGTGTTTTGTTGAGAACCACACACGTTCCAATTTTATTTTGACGTCACGATTATCCAGATATACAGTCACTTTGAAAGCCTTGAATCAAAGTTAATCACAAACTATCTTATTTATACGTACTTTCAAAGTGACATGTTTAAGGGAATAACTGCCGCATGAAATGGTAATTACATTAGTAACTCTATTGTTTTTACTCGAACTCTTTGAATAGTCTTGGTGCATTGACACACATTTCTAGTTACTAACAATTCGTGTTTGTGTTTATGTTTTTTTAAAAATATTGAATTTTCTGCTTTAAATATAACAAAAGAATTAAGTTATGAAGTAATAACCTTTTTGTTATCACCAGCTAGTAACAAGAATAAATATTTTCTTTCAGAAAAAGAAACATAGAAAAACGAAAGAGGATACACCTGAATAGGATAATTGGAATATATGTATCACCAAACAGAGTTCCAGCAATTATTCTTCACAGATTCAGTAAAATATAAATAAAACTTTTATTTAAATCTAAATATAAATATTTAAGTGTAACTTAATATAATATTCGAGTTGCAATAGTTAGAAAGTTTGAATTCTACAAGAATATTGGTAAAGTTAGTCAACATAAAATATATTAAATTTGAGGAATTATAAAATATACCAATACGTATTCTTCGAAAACTAGTATGTAGTTTGCGGCTTTGACTAAGTTTGTCAATGATGTATGTTCTTAGAAGTTAATGTTCGTCTAGGTATCAATAAGACTAATTAATATTTATTAATTAGGTCTCTTACCTTTTTAGCATATATATTACAATATTAATTATTAATTTGTTCGAAATTTTGGTTAGTTGTCAAAATCTAGCAAATAATAGTAATAATAATAGCGTTTATTGCCCACCAGTATGAACCATTTACAGAGCAAATACAAAAACTTAAGAATAAAAGTTAAATTAAATTTAAATATCAGTACAGCACTACAGATTAGTACATTAAGTACTGCAAAAAAATTGCCTTATTCAAACTATTTAGTTAAGAATTTAAATATAGAATAAAATAAACTCTCAATTATTATTAGCAAAATAATGTTATATCTACTAAAAACCAGAAAAAGCCAAAAAACAAAAAAATAAACTAAAGGTGTGCACGAGTTTTGTTTTTTAGTTCACATATGGTATAGCAAAAGATATCACAAAATTCAGATATCATGAAAATGGTATATTATGTCTAGAAGTCAATCTAGGAAATTGAAAATCAATCTTATATAACAATTCAGAGTTATCAACTTTATTATTTAAGAGTTTATGTAAGTATAAAACAGAACTCTGTATTCTACGTTTTTCTAAGGAAACAAAATCAAAATTATTTAATAGAATATCGTAGTCCATACCTCTAATAGGATAAACTCCATCAATTTTAAATTGTAAACATTTGAGAAACCTCTTTTGAACCTTCTCAATCAATAGCATATACTGTAAATATATGGGACTCCAAATTAAAGGTCCGTATTCTAATTTAGATCTAACCAAGCTAAAGTAGAGAGATGTCAAAGTCGAAATATTTCTAAAGTTTTTACAGTTTCTCCAAACGAATCCATATGTACAATAAGCTGGATTAACAATTTGGTTAGTATGATTATTAAACGTTAATTGGCTATCAAAAATAATTTCAAGTTCCCTGATATTTTCAGTACTTTCCAATATTACACTGTTAATCGAATATGGGTAGTGTATTGTATTGGGTTTGCGTGAAAAAGTTATTACTTTACATTTATTAATATTCAAATTTAATCTATTTTTGAGGCACCAATTTTCTAAATAAATCAGCTGATTCTGTAATACCACACAATTATATAAAGTAGAAATAAAAGCATATAATTTGAAGTCATCAGCGAGTATTAATTGGTTAGTTTTAATTTCATCACACAGGTCATTATTAATAATAGAAAAAGCAACCGACCTAAATTAGATCCCTGCTATATAGATACTTGAGCAGAATCCGTTTAAGTTAACAAATTCCTTTCTTTGATATAAATAAGATCTTAATTATGAAAGGTACATATCATTGAAGCCTAAGCATTGTAGCTTTTTAAGAAGTATTACATGACTGATTTTGTCGAAAGCCTTGGAGAAATCAGTATACACCGCATCAACCTGACCTCTTCTATCTAATGATTCACATTAGTATTGACTAAATGTCTCTAAGTTGCTTATTGTGGTTCTCGAGTTCATGTATCCATGCTGGTGATTGTATATAGTGTGTTTTACAGACAGGTATATGCCGTTATACAAGATTGACTCTAAAACTTTCGCTGCGTTATTTAGTATAGATATGGGCCTATAATTGTTAATCACATTACGATTTTCAGACTTGTGTACAGGACACACTTTAGCTACTTTCCAGCTATCTGGAAAAGTTGACGTTTTTAAAATTAGGTGAAAAAGGCTTGAGGGGATAGATTAAAACTCTAATACAATCTTTTAATAAAAATGATGGAATTTTAACAGGACCAGTACTAAATTTATTTTTTAATTTACGAGCAGCATCAATTAATTCTTTTTCAGATATAGGTTCTGAACTAATTACAATCAGATTACCATTGTGAAAGTTAAAATTTAGATTTGTATCATCTGGATCTGCCAAAGAAAAAACACTTTCAAAAAAATTTCCAAAAGCATTTGCAATACCTTGGGGATTATTATATGATTCGTCATCACAATACATTGTTCCAGGAATTCTTGAACTATTATTTTTATGATGTACAAAGGACCAAAAAGATTTAGGTTCATTTACTAAGCAGGATTGGACATTTTCCAGGTAACGTGAATATGCTAAAGTAATTTTTTTTAACTAATTTTCTAAGTCCTATGTATTTTAGCTTTATACTTTATTAGATTTATAATTTCGCCTGTATACCATACTGGATATAAGCATCAATAATTTCTTAGTGTTTATTATAGAAAATTTCCACTGCTAAGGTAGAGTTGTCAAAATTTGCAGGGAAGTGCCAGTCAACATGTAATAGTGCATTATATAACAAGTGATAGTTAGCAATTTTAAAGTTGTACATCTTTTCATTAATATTTGTGTCTAACTTGTCATGTTTATTGTATATTTTATTAAGATCTATATGTAATGAAGGGTGATAAGCATCTTCGATAACAAGTGCTGTGTTTTCTCTGATGACAGAAGAACTCATATTACTCATTATCAGGTCTAGTATACGATTGTAGTTATTAAAAACAATATTAAATTGTTTCATATCCAAAATAGTCAACAAGTTTATAATTAAGCGAGTCGGCTTCGACTATTAAGGCCATTAGCCTCGTGTTCTCTATAGGCTTTGTTACTGTTTCACAGTGCCACTTTAGAAACAGCACTGTTAATTAGAACCCAATGGTCTGGTAGGGAATCTTAAAAAGGCATCAGAATTAATTTTAAATAATTAAATTAAATAAAAAAATCCTGGCCAACGGTGGGATTCGAACCTAAGACCCTTGGATCCAGACTCTACCACTGAGCCACCCACCTCCTCAGTATTATTTAAAATAAAATTGGTAGCGTTAAAGTCTCCCACAATCAAAACCTTCTGGGAATGTAAAATTTCGGACCCTATAAGTCCATTGAAAAAGTTATCAAAATTCCCTAGAGGGGGTGATGGTGGAATATAGATAACTACTACAAATATAGTAGAAATATTATATTGACACTTGCACACTAAAAAGTCAATATCGGGAAAGTTATCGTTCAAATCTTGAATTAGAACAGGTTCAGATTTCATAGCAGGATCAATAGCGAGTAACACACCACCACCAGAAGATAAGTTTAAAAGGTCAAGTTTCCTGTCTCTGCGGTAAACATCATAATGAGCATTAGGAAATAGTTCATTCGATTTGATTTCAGACTTTAACCAAGTTTCAGTGAGCGCGATAATATTGTATTCACTGTCACTAACATTAGCTAAAAATTGGTCAACTTTGGTGTTAACACCTCTTACATTCTGGTAATAAATGGACACTATCTCGTTGTTGATGCTGTTGGGCTGTTCTAGTTTAAAGAAGTAACTCTAGGTACAATTTTTGGAATGTTGTTAACATACCTTATTCGGATGTTAACAATGTTAACATCACCGTTGTTGATTCGATCATCGAGTTCTTGCTTAACTTTTTTATAGTACTCCATTTGTCTCTTCTCTTTGTGCGATCTGCAGCTACAATTATTTGCTTGAAATTCGAGTTGGAATTTTTCAAGACTGAGCTCACTGTTGTTTCGTTCTCCAATATTACTTTAATAGGTCTAATTTTAGATTCTGCGGAAGCCCCCAATCTTATTGGCTTGATATTTGTTGTAGGTAAATCTGGAGCAACAGTGTTTAGAATTGCAGATACCGTATTTTTGTCTATCACTTTTTGCTTTTCTAAGGATTTGTTTTGGTCGGGCTCTGCAACTTTAAAAATGACAATGTTGTTCCTTCGCTTTTGTTTTTCAGTAAATTCGGCCATCACATCTTCATAGCCGAAGTCAGGCGAAGTCCTATTCAATAAATAGTTATCTGCGTAATATACCCAAATAAGTAGAGAGGGTAGAATGATAAGATACCGTCTACGTATCCATGAGGAGTGTAGAAATTATGCATAATTCAACCTTTCACTCTTACTCACGTAAATGACAAGGAAAGGTTGCCCTAAAGCAAAGTAAACAAATTCTAAGCCTGGTTTTGTTCAGCTATTATGTTCATGTTTAGCTTTGTTTTCTGTTTGTCTTGTGGCTGTTGTGAGCTTTTTTGACATCGATTTTTTTATTGGCTTGGGCATATTTGTGATTTTTTGTGCTTTAATATTAATTTAGTTAATTTTCCTGACTATATATTTTCCCATGCACTTTTTTATAATTGTTGCACAAAATGTTCTTAAACCGGCCCTGAATCTTTTTTACAAAATATACAAAACGAAATTGTGCATAGTGTCTATACTTTTTCACTGACAGTTGTCATTCTACCCCTCTCCACTTCATTGAATATACCACATACTTAATAAGATTCGACGATAAACTGTCAATCAGAGAATAACAATTTTTTCATTGCTCTTTGAATTTAACTTAACTTTTAGAGGAACGTAGCCTATCCAACTTTGGGAATTTCTCTCAAATGTGCGACAGCGTTAATCCAAGAGTACCCATAACGAGGTACATATAAAATACTGAAGTATTTACTAGATTATTTACTAGATTAGATTATTTACTAGATTAGATTATTTACTAGATTATTTCCTAGATTGTTTACTAGATTATTTACTAGATTATTTACTAGATTATTTACTAGATTCTTTACTAGATTATTTACTAGATTAGATTATTTACTAGATTATTTACTAGATTATTTACTAGATTATTTACTAGATTATTTACTAGATTATTTACTAGATTATTTACTAGATTATTTACTAGATTATTTACTAGATTATTTACTAGATTATTTACTAGATTATTTACTAGATTATTTACTAGATTATTTACAAGAATATTTACTAGATTATTCACTAGATTATTTATTTACTAGATTATTTACTAGATTATTTAATAGATTAGTTACTAGATTATTTATTAGATTATTTACTAGATTATTTACTAAAATATTTATTAAATTATTTACTAGATACAGGAAAAGGAATGATTACTTAATTATATTTACAATGTTAATGTATTTTATGGTTTGTGAGAGTATGCAATGTTACCTTTTCTTTTAGTTCGTATGAATCTCCAATTTTTAAGGAGGGCAAATTAGTTCTATTTAAAAACAAAATGGCGGACATTAAAAAACTTGTTCTAAACTGACTTTTCGGAAATAAATCAAAAACTAAAGGAGTAAAGAAAATATATACAGGATAAAAATGTTTCCCATAAAATTATCTACAACTTTGTGTATTACGGTTTAAGTAATAAAATCAACAGTTTGCGAGAAAATAAAAGTAAAAGTATTGTACTGAGGTCGTAATAACTAAAGGTGTAAATAAGAGAAGAAGAGAGAATATTCGAGAAATATCATTTCACGTCAAGAAACATCTGGACGTTCATATGAAGGTTCTAAAAGGTAAAATCAAGCTATATAAGTCGGCGATTCTGACGTCAGTCAGTGATGATGACGTTATACGTTAATGTTATCAGTTGAATTATTGTAAAAGTTGAGTTGAAATAAATTGGGATACCAAAAACATTGGTGACAGCAGTGGGATATAAAATAAAAGTTGCCCAATCATTCTATTCATGGTAAATACTAGATCCACTGAGCACGAAACAGATATGGATTCTTCAGGCCCAACAGTATGGTTTTTAAAGATGGAAGAGGAGAGAAAAAGGCGAGAAGAGGAAAAGGAAAGGCATACGAAGAAAGAAGAGAAGGAAAAGGAAAGGCATAGAAAGGAAGATGAGGAGGAAAAAAAGGCGTAGAAAGGAAGAAGAAGAGAAGAGAGAAAGGCGAGAAGAGGGAAAGCCAAAAAGAGGGAAAGACAAGAAGAGGAGAAGGGGAAGAGGCATAGAAAAGCAGAGGTGAAATTAAGAATGGTTTGCTACAAATTTAAGAAAACTTCAGACAAGAGGAAGGTCAGCTAAACAATCGAATAGATTTCTTAGCACAACAACAAGATAATTTAAAAACTATTTTAAAGCAACAAGAAACGGCTAGAGTAGAGTTAGAATGGCAAATTAGAACTGAACTAGTTGAACTAGACAGAAGAATTCATAGCCTAGCTTTGTTTAGCATTAGGGAAACTGCAAACCCTACCTCTTTCTCATCTATAACCGAACCAAGTCATATCCAAAACCCCGTTTCACAAAGCCATACTATCAAGACCACAGAAGCCACCCACGTTTAATGATTAGACAACATGGGAAACGTATCGACTCCAATTTGAAGCTGCAGCTAGAGCCAATGGCTTGGCTGAAAAAGAGATGACGGCTTTATTGAAAGTGACGTTGCGAGGACAGGCAGCAAACATTTTAAAGTTACTTCCCCAAGAACCTAGTTATTTATCGCTCGTCCAAGCTTTGAAGACAAGATAAAGCCAGCAACATTTAAAACTGGTATTTATTACAAAGCCAGCTAAAGGTATGTAGTCAGAAACATAATAAGAATCTACAGGAATTTAAAGCCGACATAATAATATTGATTTATCTGGCCTATCCACATTCACCCAAAGATTTCTAAGAACAAATCGGAATACAGGCATTCATTGATGAATACAAGATGTGGAAATGCAGCAAATACTTCATCTACAACATCTTAAGACTTTGAGGGAGAAACTAATTGCAGACCAGGAATTAAAAGCAGTAAAACTACTATCCAGATCTTCTCGCGCAAGAGTGAGAGAAATTAAATCCCAGGAAAGTGAGGAGGCCAATACTAATACTATTCTTCGACTTACCCTTTCACAAATCTTAAATATCCTGCAAAATATGCAACGTAACAGCCAAAATGGAAGCAGAAGATGCTTCAATTGCGAAAGAAACGAGCACTTTCAAAGGACTTGTAGAAGCAGAGCTTGTTCAAAAATCAGGGAATAAGGCTAGAAAGTCACATAGCACAATCTCCCGAAACCCGTCACAAAGTCCAATAAAAAATAATTACAGCAGCTATGCGTCCCGGATAAACCGATCGCCCTCACATAGCCGGCTTTCTAGCAATAACCAGAAAGTAGAGCATCGAAGAAGCTGTCTCCATAACAACGCATATATTGTCTCCAAGCAATCCTGTTCAGAACGAGAATGCCGGTACAGTAAAGGGCTCGGAGAACGAAAGGAACCGGTTGATAAAGTTACTCTTCGGACAACAACTATCAAGCCACAGGGCGACAAAGAAAAAATCACCCTTGGAAGCCTAAGAAAGGGGCAGAAGAAAGACAATGACTTGAAGGTTATCCGAGAATTACTCAAAAATAAAGTCACACCTAGTTGGCAAGAGATATCCAAATACAGTGGAGCTATTAAAGGGTACTGGACGTTATATGTTGAATTATTGTTAAATTTGTCTTCTACACAGAATACTCTTCTGCATCACTGTAGGGTTCAATATACCAAGCCGGCGTCTGGGCTTGGGAGCATATGGCTAAAATAAAACCACCATTCAGTTTGGATTGATTCTTCTATGGTTGCTCAGCGTATCAAATAACAATCAAGAATTAATGCAAGCAGAAGTGTTTTAAAGTATGTAGTTGCGTAAAGAAATCATTAAACTGCACTGCTCTCTGCAAGAGTTCTTGTAAAATAATATGTATACTTTTTAAGTATTCCCCTAGTATTTAATTATTTGATCAAGTCACCTCTGGAAACTCCACGTACCTCTCAAACAATGAGTAGAAATAGCAAGTGAAAACAGTCCAAGAAACTAAAATCGATGGAGATAGAGCTATACTCCAATTTAAATGGATTGCATAGGCGGCGGCTGATTAGATAAGTACATAGTATGTTGTTAATCAGGTGATTCTAATACAGGTACACTCTGCGTGTCAACTAGTATTAACTGATAGAGCCTATGTTTTTATGACGTAGAATGTGATACATTTTTAAAAAATTCGTACGTCCATGTAGAGTAGAAGAGTAAAGTTAGATAAATTTATACTGATTATATTTTCTTTCCGATGTTTTTGTGTAGCAATTCATATTTTTTAGTTAGGATAAATATAAAAAAAATCAGTATAAGGAGAGTTTGGCCCCGCTCAATAATATTTAAGAACAGCCTAAATTATAGTTGCATAATGCGGCCATACTTTATCATAACATTGAATCGTTAATAACTTCTATAGTACTTTTAACCTTGAGGATCGAATATATCTAGAAAAATTAATTTCAAAATAAGAAGTAACTCATAAAGAAACATTAAACTACTACCGCCGTTTTAAAATTTTTATATTTCCATAATATATCAAAAATATTATGTTTAAAATTAACCTTCGATGCCGGTGTTTGTAATATTAGTAAGAAGACTTCAGTTCTTATTAATTATATCAGTTTTCAACAACAAAGTAGGCCTTGGCAGCATCATTATTTTTAATAGTAATAATAATTTAAGCGATTTTTAGCGTAATCGTCCAAACTATAAAAATTAACGGCGTCATATTAATGTAAATTATGTTACTAATCAGACGGACAAAGCCCCGAAGACGTTTTTAGAGATACTTAACATGTAAAAGAGAGCATAAATCATATTATGAAATAGCTATTATTCGAGATTAAGTTGTAAATTCCATCTTAAAGTGAACCACTAATATACAGTTACGAGAGCCAATGTTAAGGGTTTTTATTAAAGATTGTTCCATAAAAAAATTCAACGGTCTTTTATTTTATGGTTAAATCGTAGGTGACATTCAGTATTACAATGTTACAGTAGCAGGTCAGGTAAAGAATATTCTGTTTGCATATGTGGAATGAGCTACTCGTATATTTTTGACAGTTTCGAATTTTACAATAATAAAGTTAAATAACATACACGGTGTCCCGAAATTAGACGGTC